ACAACCATTTCACCTACTGGCCCAGCCTGTCTTCCTGGTCTGGTCCCTTCTGACCCATTTCATTCCACAAATGTTTCTATTAACACAGATACTTCTTCATCCTGACTTATAACCTCACCAGAAATTCATAATGCTGCTCACACACAGTTTTCATCAATATTCTAAGTAGGGACACAATATCTTATCTTAAGTACAAACCCTAAGTTGTGCCAGCTGCTCCCCCTTAGCCCATCTCCAACAAACCCAATGAATTGCATAAATAATATTTCTGGATTCATCACATCACTTCCATGTTTGAGTTTTCCCTGGTCTACAATGCCCAAAGCAAAGGTCCTCAATCTCATAATGACCAGATGTACAGTTTCTGAAAATGAAATCCCTAGGCTGGAAATAAAGCACAGGGATTTGCTAATAGTACACAGATATGGATAAATTGGGGACTCCTTGTTCAATATTATTCTGGAAATCACACTTCTTTTAACACGCCTAGGCAGGAGGGAATTATTTCATTGCTGAATATCACCTTGGTTAGGAGGAAGGTCCCACTATTGGAACTTGAACAGCTTTGGGTACCTGAGTTGCCTCCAAGGGCAAACTCCACATCTTTGTGTAAGAAGAGAAATTATCAACAGTAAGAGACATGTTACTTTTAATTGGCAGCATCATTTTCTTGAGAGAATCACATTTCTATGTGATCTCAATAGAATTGTCCCTCATGGACCAGCCTCCTCCTCCCAATCTGGCTACCACCAGAACCACATATACACAAAGTTGGGCACAAGATCTAGTCTGAGATTATCACAGAAGCAAATCTCTGCTGGACATAGAGACTGATGCCATAACTACAAAGCAAGGCCACTCAGAATCCTTCCAAAAGAGTCACACAAACAGAACCTGGAAGAGACAGGATCTTTCTTTCTTATGGACCCCAACCCAAGAGTGGAGTATTGTAACTTCCAACAGTGATCTTTCTCTATACATATAAAGAGGGTCGATCCAGAGAGAAGTGGAGCTAAGAAATGAGAAAGGGAAGAAATAACCCTCACAAGACATGTGAATCTCTGGTTCCAGCTGAGACTAAAACAAGATCCACTTTTGGACTTTCCATTCATGTCTGTCAATAAATCCCTTTTTGTTTAACCTAGTTAGATGTAGTTTCTTTGTGCACATAATTAAATAAATCCTGACCAATTCCCTCCCACAAAAACACAGGGTAGTGTGGTGGTAGGGGGGACTCTTGGTGCAACTGGTGCAACAGAGTGAGAAGGTACTGCAGAGGGAATGTATGGATCCACAACTGGCTACACTATTATGTTTTCTGCATAATCTCACCTTTGGGGACAAAGTTTCCAAAGCACAACTTGCTACTAGAACACTCCCCACTAATTAACACAAGAATCTTCACCTTTATTGAAGTTATGGATATTTACTTTTTCCAGTGGTACTCAAAGCTCTTGAACCAATCTTATCAATCACTCTGTGATAGTCATATTCCCAGAAATCTGCTGGGAAAGGGGAAGGAAATGAAGTGGGGGGAAGCAAAAATTGGAGCAATCAGAATGAACATAACTGTGAACTCAAGGTCCTTCTGGGCATCTTAGTCTCATAATTGGAGATTCTTGTCTTTGAGAATGTAAGCTAAATTTTGACTCAGAAATTCAACCTCCACAGAAATCTGACACCAACCTTATCTTTCTCTCCTGTTTACTCAGGGTTTCTAAAGTGTGCATTAGCTTCTGCTATCTCTATAAACCCTGCAGAAAGGCAATGGCTCATACTGATGCAAACGTGCTTTGCAGTACTAGTCTTGGTTTTGTCACCTTTCTGCTCTAATTACCTCTGAGGGTTGCAATGAAAATCAATTGCCATTATTTGTAAAGATTCATCAAAAACCATCAAGTACCAAGTGAAAATTGGTATTTATTATTTTATTCTGTATTGTCAACTCAGATAATAAATGATGGGCCAGATGCCTTAGGCTAGATCGCCTTTATTACCTATCATCACAGCCATTATCCATGCCTTCCAACCAGCACATCCTCCAACTTGCCTCCCTCCAACTGTAAAGTCACACCCCCCACACACATTCTGATTTCTCCCTGCCTTTAATTCCATCAGAATTCATCATGCAGTATTTTAAAAGAATGTAAAGGTCACCAGTCCAAAGTACTTATTCTTTCACAAAGGTCAAGGAACTTTTACTGGGACATGTAATCAGTAGCTCAGTCAAGATGACAGCTCCCCATTCCTTGCCCTTTGCAAAACACCATACTGTTCCCTGGTCTGCAGCAGCTCCCTGGTGCTCACAGACACCCTTGTTCTGCTAGGTAATCTGTGGCATATTGACCATACCCATCACCACCAGCCCAGAACCTACCATCAGAGTGTCTATTAGCTAGCATGGCACTCCAGCAAAGCCTCTTTGATGTTTTCTGAGTGCTGGGGCACATTTCAGATCTCAGCAAACAAAAAATATTTTAAGTACAGAAACAAGTGGATAAACTTAATAAATCTGCAAACCATATATTCCTCAGTAAAATGAAAGGTCGATCTCATTGCAGGTTTATTTTTCTGTCACTACACAAGTTCTTTTTCCCAATATATTTTGCTTAACAAAAACTCCGCACGCTGTCTCCCATTTAGAGTGAGTAACAGTTCACGAAATTTATTTTTAAACTGTATCCTCTTTTAAATTTTGCATTGTTTGATAAATAATGTGAAAATGTATTACTTGCTATGAGGACTTAATATTATCTTTTTTGCTTAAGATACAAAAAGGTGATTTTTTGCTTTTATCTTTGTTCTTATCAGTTTCTATAAGTAAAATATGAATTTCTTTTTTACTTGTGCTAAGATTTCCCCTGGGAATGAGACAGTTTAACCAATCAATTGAAATTCATTTACCTTATATGTTAGTAGTCATCTTTCTCTGTCCAATGAGCTATTGTCAAAACCCTGAAACTAAACAAGTCCAAATATAGCCATGTAACTCTTGAAGCATTCAAAACTTCTCTAAAAATTCTTCCAAATTGAAATGACAAGTGCACCCACCCCCTTTTACGGTGATCCTGCCTGATCTTTTAAATCTTTCTGATTTCGGGTATATTTTGGATACTCTGCACTTACCTAGACCTGCATCAGAAGCAACAGGTAAAGCCTTCTCTGTCCCAACTGCTTGAAAATTGCATACAGAGACTTTCTACATATCAATTTCCTCTTTAGTGAAGGCTTTCCCAGACTAGATACAAAGATAATGAAGATAATTATACAACCAAAAATACAAATTATAACTAAATTATCTCATGATTTTAAGCTATATAGCAGGACTTGGAAGGACTGGAGGAAAAGGGAGAGGGGAATCATGAACTAAAAAGAATTTCCATGCACACATGAGTTTGTCAGGATGAACCCCATTACTATATACAGCTATAAATCTCTAATTAAAAGAATGAAAAATTCTTCTCACTTCATTATACATTTTTAAAAGTAAGACACCCATAACATAAAATTGCTAAAATATTGAACTATAGTTTCCACTTAACAGAAGCATTATTTTCTGTTTAGAAGAACTCCTATTTCTCACTTGAGTTGTCGAAAAGCATGAAACTACTTACTATCAGATGCTTGGTATGGGTAAACAGTAGTGGAAAAATGAAGCAAAGTTTTAAAAGTTTCAAAATTTAGCCTACTTTTCACAAAATGGTATTATTTTCTAGTATCAGCACCTGAATAACAAACTGAAGGACATTTTATGTGTTTTCACAATGCAAAAAAATGACAAACCATTAAAGAAAACAGCACTCACAGGCATTGTTAACATTTATGCAAAAAATAGTACAGAAAGTGAACTTAGGAACTTGGTTTGACTGCAAAACCAAAAAGTTAAATATACTTACTAACAAACAATATCTGTAGATTTCTGAAATGTTATCCACAACTACTTCTGAACGTTTTCAGAAGAAATGACAAGGTAATACCAACATTTTAAGTACACCACACTAAGGTGTAGAGGAGCAGATTCCAATTAATATATGTGTGTGTGTGTGTATACACACACATATATGCACCTGTCTTTCTTTCTGACATTACCAATGCCTGCTACTGAACAATGAACTATCATTATTACACACACACACACACACACACACACACACACTTCTCTAAATCAAAGTGCAGCAAATACTAACAGAGCGATTGCGCCCACACAATGTGAAGTGTTGGCTTGAACAATTAATTATCCCAAAAGAATGATTAATGAAGCGAATCTTGCAAACCTTTTCTCTTAAGGACAGACTTTACAGGGAAAAAAATCAGTAATGCTGAATTTTGCAAATAATTGCTTTCACCTCTCCATTTTTGCCTATGTAGGTACAACCACACAGAGATACTGCTTTAGGAACCCCTGCCCATACTTTGTTCTGCCATATATTAACGACATGAACATCTTTACAGAGAATGCTGACTCCCTGGAACCGAAACAAAGGAGGGTGTAGCTTGGAGAAACCTGGCCAGGCACACCAGGACTCCGGGTTTTCAGAGGCTGCCCCGTGAGGCTTTTCTTGCGCTCTGGGGACTTAGGAGTCCAGAACGGATGTCGGACTTGGTTTATTTCCCAAACTTCAGGCGTCAGTGTTTATCCTAACTCTGGAGGCTGGGGCGGAGGGGAGGAGAGGAGGCTGAAGAAGCGTGCCTTTTCAGCCACAGGGCTTGCCCACCTACCTCCCCACGCCCAGAAGCACTCTTTCCTGCCCCCTCACCTGTCGTGAGCGCAGAGCTTCGGTGTCCAGTGACCTCTTGGTTTTCGCTCCGCGAGCTGTCCCGACGGCGGGTGCCTCCGGAGGCAGAAAAGGAGGCGGCGGGGTCGGGGGCGTCAGCAGGAATCCTGGCAGCCACTAGCAGCCGCGGTCTCCCTACCCATCCTGGCGGGGCTCGGGCAGCGGACGCGGCGCGGTCACCGGGGGCGGATGAGTCAGGCGAGGGGGCGGGCGGAGGGAGTGCAGGCGCTCCTACCCCCGCGCCTGGGTGACGCTGGAGGCCTCGGACCTGGGGGCGCGCCGCTGCTTGTGCCCGTCCGGGGCTGCGGGGTCGCTGGCCGCCGCCATCGGGCGCGCAGAGCCCAAGCGTTCCTGCCCTCCGAGGGCACGGGCACCGAAGGCACGGGCACCGAGGGCAACGAGCGAGGCAGGGGCAAGGGACCACTGCTCAGGCGTTGCCGCCGCTTCCAACAAAGACAAAAGGTATCTGGGTCTGGGAGGGAAAGTTTTCTGCTAGGCTCCTGACGGATCCCAGCCCCAGATCTCAATCCCGAAACCTCGAAGGGGAGAACTGGGGGAGGGGTGCGGGGCGGGCTTCCAGGAGCGTCGCCGCGCGCTCGGGACCGGTGTGGTGTCAATCGCGTTGCCACCCACGACCCGTGGGAACTCCTCCGGCCCCGCCGGCCCCCTCTTCCTGGAGAATGCAGACAGAATCCACTCCTTCCCTTTCAGGACCCCCAGTCTCGCCGTTGTGCCCCCAAGTCGCAAAGTTGCACTTCTAGAGCCCAGATCAGCCTCCGACAAAATCCATCTTCCAGAACAAAGTACCGCTTTCAGGCGCCCTTTGCAGGGCTGAAGGCCAGAGGGCGGAAACGGACACACCCACTCGCCTCTGGCTGCAGCCGGACCCGGGTTCCAAAGTCAGAGATCCCGGTCCTGCGGTTCCCTACTGCACTGGGGGAGCCCCGGCCGATTTGGGGATTTTCTTGGAGCCGGCGCCTCAGGACCCTGGGTTCCACGCCCCTCGGATGCTTTCTTATCAGATGCCACCTTGGCGGGTCGGGGTCCCCCTGGCGGCTGCGCGAGTGCTGCTGAGAACAGAACCGAACCAGACCCATGGCGAGAACTGCCCACAGTGCCCAGCCCTGGGGAGAGCAGTTTAGGGAACGAGGGTCCAGGGCTTGAAGGGGTCAGAGCTAGGACTGAGGCGGATTAAGTCACTCAGGGCTCCAATAAACAATGCTGAAGTTAAACTCCAAATGTCACAGTCAATGTCGGACTGACTTTGCCCCTCCTCCTTGTCTCATTGAGTGGAAACTGTGCCCTATTCCTCAAATAATACAATAGTTACCCCCAATTCAGCAGAGATAGAGTGATGACTGTATACATGAAGGTCAATTCAATAAGTTTCTCGTATAATTCTGAATTACTGAATATTCCAACCAACACACTGGCGTATGCAAAGCACACCAGCCCCCTGCGGTAGTGATATGGTAAATCTGTGTGTTCCTGGATGTTTTTAAGTGATAAACTGGAAGGAAATATGTTATTCTGTTGCTGTCTATTTGTGTATTTCAGTATGTGTCTGCTGATATCACTTTTGAGAAAAGTCTATTTCCGGGGTAGAAAATGTATGGAGAGGGGGCGGTCTTCCATACAAAAATTTCCACATTAAAAGAAAATCTTGGAAATTAGACACGGCAATGAAGAAAGACTGTAGAAATGGACTTATTGGGGGGGCTGGGGTTGTGGCTCAGCGGTAGAACGCTCGCCTCGCACATGCAGGACCCTGGGTTCGATCCTCAGCACCACATAAAAAAGTGAAATAAAGGTATTGTGTCCGACTACAACTAAAATAAATAAATAAATATTTAAAAAAGAAATGGGCTTATTGGGGTAAAATTTTGCTTTGACTAAAATAATTTGCAGATTACTTTTGAGTAGAAATCTCACAGCTGAAATATTTTTTAAAAAGAAAGGGCAACTTAATGAGACCCTGACTCAAAATATAAAATAAAAAGAATTGGGGATATGGCTGAGGGATTGAGTTCCCAGGGTTCAATCCCTTATATCAAAAGAAGGAGGGGACCAAAGAATTGGGGTGGGGTGGAGAAATGAGTCACCTCTCTAACCCATCTGTAGTTTTAGTCTTAGTCCATGTGCATCCAGTACTATTTTGCCCAGAGCCACCTGCTCAACGCTCTTAGGTTTTCTTATACATTTGTCAAGAAACCCCTCTAAAGGCACATGAGTCCACTGGGCTTTCCTACTAGCTGCTGCCACTGCATTTTATAAAGTAGTACCCGAAGCCACATTTCTCCACAAAGATCCTAAGAATGGACACTTCCTGGTAACTCTCACTAGTTTAATGAATAATAGGCTCATAGTGTGCAGAAAAGTCCTTTTGACACCCTCTTTGAAACACGCAGTGAAACACTTACCATGGCCATGGAGCCATTTTAGGCATTGAGTGGCTTAGCATTCCTCAAAAAGAGACTGAGGAGGACCATGAAAAAAGAAATAAGCATATTCTTATGCCCAGTGGTAGTGATTTCTCGTTTCTAAACTTAGATTTCAGTGATTCAACCAAAAATAGAAAAAGAAGAAAGATGGACTAAGTAAGAGAACCAAAAGGAAATTACTTAAATTTCTTTAAAAATGATGACCATTAGTCTCAGTGAAGATTGAGATAAAATGTCATATAAATTGAGGATTATCTACACTTACAGTAGTCCAAGCAACTCCCAAGATATACTTTTATAGAGTTGAGTGCTCAATGTAAGCTCAGGTAAATTATTTTATCTTTGCTAATGGCCAATATTTTTCCATCTGAAAAGAGCCCAGTGAGTGTAATATGCCAGTAATGGATTTTAAATTTTAGTTCTACACCCACCTTTGAAATAATAGATGAGAATCAACTATTTCCTTTCTCTTACCATCAAAGCAGCACTGTACTTCACACATAATGTGTTTTTGTTGTTGATGTTGTTTTCTGTATCTACCTGAGATGTATAAGCTTCCACTAGAACAAATCTATCTTAGAAAACTGTATGGTGGAAAGATGGTGATCCTCCCTATCATTCAAGTTTAACCACCTAAAATAAAGACTTTGAACCTAATATTTCCTATTTCTTAAGTAGAAGCAAATTACCTATTTTTAAATATTATTGAGAAATTTATTAAAATAATTTATAATATTAAGATTCTTCTCATCTATTACATAGATCCTCAACACATTTAATTACACACACACACACACACACACACACACACTCCCCAAATTTGTTTTAATGGTATGGTCAAGAAAGAAAGATTCATTATCTTGAGGAAAAAATGTCAAACTATGAAGATCAACATTCGAAAATTTGGTACATTATAAATGTTTTCTAATGGATGGAAATAGAATTTTAATGAAATGTGGAAACATACATTGGAATGAAAATGAGTATTCTTAAGTAGATCAGATAACAAGGCTAAAAGAAAGCCTGTTAGAAATTGTGTGTGAAATTATACCCACTTTTTGCAACAAATATATTCCATAGTATCCCCAAATTTGAGAAGGGGTCCTCAACCAGAAAATAAAAATGTCTTCAATAGGGGAAATAATTGGAATTGTTTGCTTGACTTTTATCTGAATTACTTTGCTCCTGCTGTGAAATAGACTGATAGTTTTAAAGCCCCTGAGGTTCCTCTGCTGGCAGCCGTGGTTGCTGTTTTAAAGTAGGGGACAAAGAAGAATAAAGGCAAAACAGAAAATTATTTTTCTGATTTTATTCTTGAAATAAGAAAATATGTAGAAGGAATACAATAAAGATAAAAGGGTATTGGAAATGCATTTTAAAATAAGTTAAGATAATTTTATTTCACTGTGATTTGGAATAGCAGTTTGTCATATTTTTTTCTTTTTGATTATGTATAATTGGCTAATAATGTAGTAGATGTAGCAGGAGAAAGCTGTTGCTAATTCTTTTTCTGTTCATCAAATGTGCAACTGAGACTGCTAATCCCTCTCAAATAGATGCCTTATAATGTTAAGACTGATGCGGCTACTTAAATATTTTATAAATTCTGTATTAACTTCCTGATGAGATAATAAACCTGATAAGATTCCTTCTGCCTAAGGGGCACTGTCAGCATACCTGTTAAAAATGCTAGAAGGGAACTAGGCATGGTGGCCCATAATTGTGATTCCAGCTACTCAGGAGGCTGAGGCAGGAGGTTCACCAGTTTGAAGCCAGCCTCAGCAACATAGTGAAATCCTGTAGCAAAATAAAAATAAAAAGGGCTGTTGATGTAGCTCAGTGGTAAAGCTCCCTGGATTCAATCCCCAGTATCTGAGAAAAAGAAACATGCTAGAAAGGGCATACTCAGCATACTCTCTCTTTAAAAACCCTAGTTATTTCCTCCAGACAGATTTGTATTTATACAAATGGAAAGTTCACCGCGTGGCTGATAGCCATCCAAGAGGTACTTTTAAAAAATATTCTGATAGTGTGTTTTAGTATGAGTCTACCACAGACAATAAAGACTTGACTGAAATAGAAGTATAAGATGGTAGTGGTGCCCCACCCATTTCACTGTCCTTGGTGCTGAACCAGTCTCACTTCATTAGTGCCTGGTTCTCAAAGTGTGATGAAGGATCAGCCACACTGACATCACTAGGAAGCAATGAATAGCAGGATCTCAGGCCCAAGCCCAACCCTAATGAACCATACCTGGAAACTCAACAACATCCCCCAAAGGATTCAGATTTGTTTGTGTATTAGATTTAAGAAATGCTGCATTAGTATACAGTTCATGTTGCCCTGGGACTGATTTCCTGCCTACATCACCTGTACTCAGTGGTGTTATAGCCACTTGCATGAAACAGCCAGCTTAAAATTCCAACTTGTGAATTAATTTTATCTGGGGAGTGCATGATAGTATAGTGGAGAAAGGAGGTGCTTCTCATTGGCTCTGCTGTTTGGAATTTGAACAATAGGAATATGGCTTCATGGTGAGGTGGGTGTCTGAAGAACACCATTATAAATCATCATTTGTCTGTCAGAGATTAGAAGAAGCCCAGAGATTCTGGTTTATTGAATGGAGGATATAAAGAAACACACGTGGCCCAGCAGTAGCAGTAGTGCTGTATCACTGCAAAGGAAGGGCAACATAATCAGATAGAGAAACACAGCAGACAATCTTGGCACACAAAATGTGCTGTATGTTTCCTAACTTCTAAGTGAAGAAATGAGGTGGAGATCTAGCTAAAGGAGTTTATGCCAAATTTTATTCCTACAAGAACCTGACAGTCCTTAGCAAATACTTCTACTCTGTATCAGCCAGAGCTTACAGAGTGACCTAGAGCACACCTGGCAAATCACCATCCCAAATGAGTTTTAGAGAGTAATGGATCCAAGGGAATTCAAGATAGAGGTACACAGGAGAGTGCAACCAGCTCCCCCTTTGATCCCTGTGGTCCAAACAACCAGCCACTAATGAGAAAGTATTGGGAAAAATGACCAAGCAAAGTAATTACATGGGGGACAGAAGAGTGCAACTCAATTTCCATTTGAGTTGTATGTTGGAAGAACCAGCTGAAAAGGATCACGGGAAATTAGTCAGGTGGGCATGATTACATTCATTCTGGAGACTTGGAAATCCATATTTGGGTGATGGGTAGGCTACATAAAACCTACACCATCCACCCAGAGAGGACTCTCACCCCACCCTACAAATAGAACTCTAGGGAGATGCTAGATGCTCAGCTGAGATCATCCATTCAGCCATAGGGGTGCAAGAATTTAATTGCTCCAGAGTACATATCCCAAAGACCCAAATTTCCATTTAGAGCTCGACTTCAGCAATCAGAACTTCCCAAATAGATTTCTGCAGCACTTCCAATGGGAAGAGTAGTGTTCTAAGACACCTAGACAAAACCCCAATAGAAGATACTTCAAGTTCCATTCCCTCATCCCACCCCCGGTACCTGGTGAGCAGTGAAGTTGAGCGTCATCTCAATCAGCTACCCTTCCAATGTACCCCAGCAGGCATAGAGTCAAAAATCACAAAAGGAGGTCGGATTTAATATAAACCAAACTGAGTTCCCTTTAAGAGCCACGTAGCCTAAAAACTAAAATACAGAAGGATAGTCTGGAATAGGATGTAAATACTCAACTTTAGCTACCTCAGTGGAAAAAATTTAAGCATTTTTAATTAAGAAGTTTTCTTTTCTCCTTTATCATTTGTATTTTTAGTTGTTGTTCTGGTTATATTTGCTGATTGGTTCATATATATCTACCTATCCATATCTATCTATATTTTTGGGGGGTAGGGTTCTCCCTATTTTATAATTTCCTTTCCTTTTATTAACCTTTTATTATTTTGTTCTGTTTCTCTAAAGAGTGGTGATTTTTTGCTTGTTTTCTTTTTTGTTTGTTTTTGTTTTTTTTGTTTGACGTTGGAAGGGATATTGTTGTTTTCTATTTGTTTGCTTGTTTTATTGTTCTTACTTAATTATTCTTTATTATTCATCTATCCCTGTAATAGCAATGTATCTTGTTTTCTCCCTTCTACTCCTTCACTTTCCACCTCTTTAGGGCCATCATGCACTACCTTAATTTTATTTTCTCTACTCTCACATTTTGAATAGTTTAACCTTCCTATTGCCTTCATACTCAACTTCTTTACTTTTAATGAACTGTATATTTAACATCCTTTAAATCCATGTAGTTTATCTCTTTCAGGAATGAAATAAGGTCTTCAGAGGAAGCCACACTATCATAAGAGTTCCCTAAGAGTGATTCAAAATCAGCAAATTGAATCTACAAAGCTGAGAAGAATGAAGAACTCTTTCACTTGTAATAGTGATATGAGCTCTGAGATGAAGAGCCTGGCTCACCCTGGGGATGTTTGTGGGTGGGGAACTGAGACAAATAAAATTCAAGCCAAATGTGGTGATTCCTGAGTTACCTCTTCCAAGCCTAAAAAGAGCTGGAGGTCAGGCAGACACACCTCCACCTCGTCCTCCCAGCACATGGTCTGAAACTCCCATGAAGAGGGGGGTGTCTCAGAGTTGTTCAGCCAAAAAGGAGTAAAAACCTTTAGAGAAACTCTGCCTACAGACTCCTCTAACAAGTTTGATCACTTAGGGTCAAATCTGAGAATAAACAAATTGTCCAATAACTGAATCCCTGGGAGAGGTGGGATACTCATTTCAAAAACCTGAGAAAGAAAAATAAATACCTAAATAAACTGACTCCCAGAAAATGGTGGAGGGAAAACAATAAGTCTCAACTCATCCACAGTCCAGAATCGAAACAGTACGATAACACCTGACCCAAAAGCCAAATACAGTTTAAAGGCAATTTTTACTTTTCTTAATATTTAATTTTTCAACTAATCCATGAAATTTATTTTAATTTGCCACTCAGATTAGTGGACTGCTGGAGAACATTGTTGATAAGGTTTTTTTAAAGACTTATTAGTATAAGGTGCTGTTATGAAATAGCATAATTACTGGAGATTAGTATTTCCTCTTAAGATAGTGTTAGAATCTGGATATGGTAGTAAGTTCAAATTGTGTGAAAACATTGAAACCAAGACATTTGCCCAACCCAGGGCCAAGAAAAGAAAAAGCAGTTCACTAAAGGCTATTATATAAACATAGAAGAGATAATTATCCTACAAGATGGGTAGAAATACAATATGAAAAAATCAAAGGAACAAGCCACCCCAAATACCTTCCATTATCTCCACAGAAAGGATATTCCAGAAAGAGAAAAGAGAAGGTTTATAATTAAAATTTTCAGTGAACTAAAAGACTATGTAAGGAATTACAGAGAATATACAGGAAGTAAAAGAACATTTTAATAAAGAGAGAAGGTTTTTTTAAAAGAATCGAAAATAAATTCTGAAAATGAAGGACTCAATAAATTGAATTAAAAATTCAACTGAAAACACCACCAATAGATTAAGCAACTTTGAAGACAAATTCTCAGGCCTTGGAGACAAAGTATGTAATCTTGAAAATAAAGTTGACAATAAACAAAAGATGTTAAGAGACCATATACAAAATATATATATACAAAATATACAAAAATTAAAATATTAAGACAGCAAATATAAGAATCATTGATTTAGATGAAAGCACCAAAATGTAAACTAAAGGTGGTCACAATCTTTCTAATGAGATAATAGCAAAAAAAAAAAAGTTTTTTCAAACCTTATCAATGAGATGGACATATAAATACAAAATTCATTTAGAACCCCAAATAGTCAAGATCAAAAGTGATCATCCTCAACACACATTATAATGAAAACACCTAATATACAAAATAAGGATAGAATTTTATAGGCCACATGAAAAAGCTGCAGATAAGATCACATTTAGAGGTAAGACAATTAGAATTTCAACTGATTTCTCAGTCTAGACATTAAAAGTCAGAAGTGCTTGGAACAATATATACCAAGCCCTGAAAGAAAACAAGTGCCAATAAAGGTTACAATATTCAGCAAAACTATCATTCATAAATGAAGATGAAATTAAAACCTTCAATAACAAGCAGAAACTAAAAGAATTCTTAACCACTAAGCTTTCACTATAAAAATATTCAATGAAATATTTAATGCAGAAGAAACAAAAAATTAATATCTGAGTCAGTGTATGGATGAATCACACTAGAAGAATAGTCAACCAAAGGAGAGTCAAGTCTGAATTAAGCATTAGGAACAAACAAAAATGACAGGAAATAAAAATTATCTCTCTATAATAGTCCTTAATGTAAATGGTTAAACTCTTCAATCAAAAAACATAGATTGGCAGAGTAAACTAAAAAACAAGACCCAACCATGTTGTTTATAAGTGATTCAACTTAAAGGTAAAGATAGTCACAGGCTAAAGGTGAAAGGATAGAAAAAGATATAGCATGCAAATGGATACCAAAAACAAGCACAGATAGCTACTCTCATATCAACAAAGTAGACTTCAAGCCAAAATTAATCAAAAGAGACAAAAAAAACTAGGATAAATATCCAATGGCAAAATATAATGATTATAAATATTTATCTCCCTAATGTTGGTGCATAACATATAACAAACCCTACACAATATAAAAAATCAAATAGAC